TTTTGCATTTCTTTTTTCTATTCTTTTTCTATTGTGGCCCAGTTACAGCAGCGACATTTTTCTTTTCAGCTCAGAAGCATCAGAGTCTATCTTTTATCTGAACTCGGACTTTTGAAAGAATTATTTACTCTATTTTAGGCCAATGGACGTGTATGGAACTGTCTAAAGCCAAGTGAACCACGATGTTTTAACCTATTTTCTGTAAAGAGATGTGTGTGCAATATTTTCTATTGTTACCAAGGCTACCTACTGCACAGATAACCACTCTTGCCAAAGACATTTGAAAACGACTGTGCAATGCAAGACAAGGGTGTGACAATTTGTCATCTGCCCCTTTGTTTCTTTATCTGTCATGTAGATGCCTTTTATTATCTGTGAGATAAAATTAAAAACACATTTTTACTCAATGACTGCTCATGTAAATATGTTTCAGACTTACAAATAAATAAAAATCTGTCATAATACCTTCTTTCTAGCTTTGTGTCTATAGACCAACAGTATGAGAAGCAGGTCAGACAGCACACTCCTGTATCTTCAGATTTCATCCCTGTTAACATCTGTTGAGAAATTATTTTCCTGTATCTGATCTTGTGATGACTTAGCAGTGAAGATATCTGCTTACAAAGGTCATATTTTAGTTTGCCAAGGAGCTTTTATTGTTGCCTCACCTTATATTATGTTCTTTGATGGTATTATTTTTCCACCTTTTAAAAAAAAAAAATTTTTTAACCTAATTTAGCGAAAGGCCTTTGCTGCTGGCCTTTACTCAGAATCACTGACTTTCAGCAGCAGTGTATGTTTATAATGAGTGCTTTTTTTTTTTATCCAATCATATTTCAGCCCTCCTGTTGCCAGGGTCACAGAAATCTGCCCTGAGGCCTTAGGATCAGAAGTGCAGGCACAGGTAGCTTAACATATATTGTAATGAAACTGTTGCTTTAACCAATCAGATTGAGAGTTGGTGGTACCAGGGCCAGCTAGCTGGCTTACGATGACGTCGGCACTTCCACGTCCTCTGATTGGATGGTCAGAAAGCTTAGCCAAAGCTAGCGGTTCCTGTAGCATAAGCTAAAACTTTATCGTAAAATAGACAGAGTGACTGAACTGTTTATGCTGAAAGAAAGGAGGATGGAGTTTGTGTTAAATAATCACGTTTCTGGTGAGTAAAATATATATTTTTGTCATTTTATTGGGCTGATATTGATGCTCCTGTTAGATGTGCAGAGTTATCACCAGAAACTTTTGACAGCGGAGGTCTTAGCGACACTCCCCGTTAGCTAAGACGTTAGCCGCTAACGAATAGCAGCGTTAGCAGCGAAGACGACGGTAGAGAAACGAGTTTCTTAGGAAAATTTGCACGTTTTACTTTAAATTATGTCAAATTTTCCAAACACCCAGCTTGAAAGACAGCGTAGCGGGCAAAGACACGGTGTTTTTTCAGGGGAACAGCGGTGAGAACCGTGACGTGATGTATATGGTGTAGCTGTGGCGCAGTTAATGGAGATGTGTTGAATTGTTGTAACTGGGTTTCTGGCTTTAGTGATGCCAGGGTTCCAGCAATACTACAGAGGAACGGCCCGCTACGTCGCTGCCTGAAAAATTACGCTGCACATTGGGCCGGAGCTGTCTGGTGACATGATAAGAAATAAAAAATAACTCGTTCCCACGCATTAGTAAATCGTGGCCACGAGTTATTACAGCGTGGGAACGACATAGTTAAACTGTGGCCTCCTAATATTAATATGAAGAAACAAGGAAGTTGTGGAGCAAATTTCACATTGCGGTCATATCAGCGCACTTGCATGAAACATGGAGCATTTTGATTTGATCTGATTTGATTTTAACCTTGCAATGAACTACACTGATATCCTGCCATCCTGCCATGAAACACAGTGTGATAATTATGTCGTTCCCACGCATTAATAACTCATGGCCACGATTTACTAATGCGTGGGAACGAGTTTTTTTTATTTCTTATCGATGTCACCAGATGGGCTCCGTAGCTACGTTATTTTTGAGGGTATGTAGCGGGAAATATTTAAGAACAAGCCTCGATACAGTTTCTCTACCGTCGTCGTCGCTGCTAATGCTGCTAACGGTTAGCGACCGAAGACATTAGCAACATTAGCTAAGACGTGCCGAACCCGAACCCGACGTGCAGGTTACAGAGTAAGTCCAGGGTGCTGACTGCACTGCGTTCATATGCTAATAACT